GACGAAATGGTTCTCAACACTCGATCTTAACCCTCTGCTACTGACGTGACCGCAACGTCCCTATTTTACTGACGTGTAGTCTGTCAGACACCAATCCCCCCCCCCCCCCCCNGATTTTATTAATAAATGTTATTGAAGCCTTGCGTACAAATACAAGTGAGATATCCTAGCAATATACGTCATCCTGAGCCACAGCTGCGATCATCTGTTTTTTAGAGTTGCTTATTTTGGTCAAAACACTGCTATTTTGACCTGAGTTGCATTAAATAGTCTCATAAAACTTAGCATGAAAAGAGGACTGTTTCTCAAGGTGATAAAATGCTAGTTCTCCAATTGGTATCAAACATATCATTGAAATACTGAAATTTAAAAAGTAAAATACCGTATACCTTTTTGATTGAAACGACATACATAGATGAATTTAAATACTAATTTTTAATTCTATTACTCCTTTTGTGTTATGTAGTTAATCAATATCGTATAGTTTTGCCACTTGATTCACTTCGCGTTTTATTTTCTTTCAAGATTATTTGAGGATACTTTGAAGATTATTTACTTTTTGTTGGTTATTTTCCTGTTTATATAACCTTCGTTTTTCACTGGATAATTAAAAATTCGTTTCTCTATCACTTCTTACGAATCTGCGCGTCGGTTAGAGATGAGTTGGAGAATGATTTTGGATATAAACTTGAGAACTATGAATTTCTCCAAGGATAAAGAAATATTTTTTTGGTGTTTATTGGGCATCTTCAATAGACTGGAAAAATGGCGAAAAATATCGTCTGAGTGGTAGGTTTGCCTCGGTTTTCCTTTTATTTATGATTAAATAAATTGAAATTAGTTATTTTTTACCATTACCAGTGGGGCAGACGGCAACTATTAATAGACTACACATAAGGAGGAGTTAATACCATAATCGTTGTGATAGTAACTTTTTCTTAAAATTCTATATTTTCTCTTTTTATTCATTTCTACTTAATTTCATTTTCTTACTTTCAGATATTGGTATTCCCCTTCCCAGCTGGCTTGTATTTCTGCAGAAGTAATTTTTTTCAAATAGCTTTTTGATTTTTAGCAACAAATATTACACATTTTATTTAAATAATCGATTCAGATAAAAATGCTTAAAAACAAAATCATCAAGCTTGTTTTTTTAAGTGCTTTTCGGTAATAATATCCTGTATATTTTTAGAGAGAATGTGTTCAAAAATATTTTCTTCTGAACGTCACCAGCTGGAACATACAACCAGCTAAATGTTTTTCTCTCTAAAACCCGAATTGTCTCAAGTCAAAAATAGTTACAAATTAAGTGTCAAAGTTAGTGACTTGAGATGAGACTGGATTATTGAATGCCATCATAGTTCTCAGATAATGTTTATATTAAGTATACTTACATTTTGTCTCAAAATAAATTAAAAATTTACTCATTTTTTTAAAAATCTTATTTTAAAATTATTTTTTATTGATATTTGTTGTTCTTTAAAAACTCGATAAAATATAATATGTATATTTGGAATAAAAATTGTGGAGCACAGCAACACTTTTCTGCAAATTCAGCGCACAAAGAACCCTGTTTCCTCTTTTTTCGGAGCTGCACAAAAGCCTGGTAACCAAACAGCACCTCGGAACCCTGGAATTTATGTTCGTTTTTCGCGAATTACTTCATTCGGGTCATAGTTTTGCAACTACGGGCCGTTCGGTGTTGCTTGCCATATTCGCTGCCATATTGTTCACACTGTCATCGCCATATTGAATACCCTGTCAACTATCTGTCAACCATAAGATATCTCACTTGTATTCTTCCACAATGTATTGAAGCTCGGATAAAATCTCGAAACTTCGGTGTCTGTCAGGCCACCACGTCAGTCGCAGAGGGTTAAGAGCGGTTATTGGCAAGTGGCGGTAAGTGAAGAGGACAAGGAGAAGACAGTAGGGATGGGTAGCAGAGAACACAAACAAACAATATCAAACGTATCGGTATCGTTTAGTTTCGCTCATACAAGGTAACGAAACACAACCGATTCAAATCATTCGGAAAAATTTTGCGAGCTGTAACTTTACTCTGCTAGCATTCGCGATATCCAACGCAAACAAAACAATTGAATGCAGAAAAATAGGGAAACAAACGAAACATAAAGTTAGTGCTCACAACACAAAACTAAACCATTGGTTTAGTGATCCCCTTGTACGCATACATACATATGTTTTTAGGTACATACTGTGCATATCAGAGGCAGTGATCGGACTAAAATTCTGTGTGGTAGATTCTGGAAAAAAATGTGGTAGATTTAGGGAAAATGTGGTAGATCTTAGGCTTCGGATCAAACTTTTTACAAAAATTAAAAAAATTTGCACGGTTTCACCTTAACTGAAAATGTTTTAATTCGAATCTCTAGAAAAAACTTTTAGCTTAAGTTTTGCCAATTTTGACAATCCTCAAGTAAAAGTAAACAACGCGTTAAAAACTTTAGATGCACTGTAATGTGCTAATACTTTCACAAAAATCGCTGATTTTCTACATTTTCTTTATTGGCTCTTTTTATAAATCATATATTTTGCAACTTAACACGATAAAATCACGTTTCCCGACGAAAAATTTAATATTGAGAAATTGAGAAAATTCACTGTTCTCCTCTCATTCGGCTTTGTTTACTTTTACTCGAGAAATCTCATCGCTGCCAAGAATGCGAAATCTTGGATACTATCATTCTTATTATTAGGGACCCGTATTTCGATAGGATACGATACCACATCGACATTTTTTCCATTTGATACCGATACGTTTTACCCGATAGTTTTCAAACGATTTTTTTTGGAATCGAGTACCAGAACTCTTGTATCGTATCGAATCGTAAATGTACATTACAAAGTTAATAGGTTTGTATAGTAACCAATAGTCAGTACTAATTTGTACTGGAACCTGTAAATTTTTACTGGCAAAAGTGGATGATAACCCAAAAAATTTGCAAGAGAGCACTGAATCGAGAGCGTAACAACACGGGAGAGCTGCAAACTCTTGCTGGTGAAATTTTCACCAGCAGAAATTAGCTAGCAGAAGAAGAAGAAGAATAAATGTCAAAAGCCGCCATTTGTTGAATTGGTTTAGCACAAACAAAAGTAAAATGAGTGGAAATCAAAATATTGTGATTGTGTAAATGCTTGTGTGTAAAGCAAAGAGTTTAAAACTGATTTATAAATAGGAAATGTTTACAGCAGAATGTCAAAACAGTGCAACGACTGTTCACTTGCAAGTTTTTGCTAGTTTTGTGTTCAATAACTTTTTTTTGCTAGTTTTCTCTTCTCAATTTTACGCTCTATTTTGCTTTTACGCTTTTGCAACGTCTACTACAGCTGCCATATAAAGAAGCGCAAATTCGGAGTTGGATTTGTGGTGGGAGAGACTCCGTCGCCGGGTACTGTCGTTCACCCCGGTGGACGAGCGTCTAGCGACAATCAGCATCAAAGCGAGATTCTTCAACATCTCGCTCATCTGCGCCCATGCTCCGATGGAAGAGAAGGATGAGGCATCCAAGGATCTCTTCTATGAGAGCTTGGAGCGCACTTAAGAGCGCTGCCCCCGTTATGATATCAAAATCGTTCTTGGCGACTTCAATGCCAGGGTGGGCAAGGAAGGGATCTTTGGAGCCACCGTCGGAAAATTCAGCCTCCGCGACGAAACGTCCGACAACGGATTGAGGCTGATCGACTTCGCCGGGGCCCGAAACATGGTAGTATGCAGTACTAGGTTCAAGCATGAAAAGATCCATCAAGCTACGTGGCTGTCTCCGGCTCGAAAAACGGGAAACCAAATCGATCATGTTGTGATAGATGTGTCGAGGACATGAGCGCCAATTTGATCGAGTTTGACTAGTCTTAATATTTTTTTCTCATTTCTCATATTATGCGTGCGGCCGGAAACCTTGTCATTTATATTATTGTGAATTAATTTTGGAAATGGAAAATTTTGGAAATGGAAATTAAGAAAGTTTTAAGCACTTCGTATTCAACTACCGCCGCGACCGCATCGCACTTGTTTTTGCCGGATTACCTCCTCTAGTTAAGCCACTTGGGCAGAATTGATTTTACTTACAAGTAGCATCAGACTTCCTAAATTTCGTGAATAAATAGACATACATATTTGAATTATATCAAAAATCCAATCGGGTTTCATTTATTGTGGTTTTCGTCACTTGGCGCACCCTGCGCTAATATTTGTTACTCCCTCAAATGGCAACATGGTCCTTTGTCGCTAAAGGGCAACCCGCTACCGAACAAAAATTAAAAGTGCATACATACAAATCGAAGTGATTGATCAGTTGAAAGAGAACTTGAAAAGCGGTCGCTAGTTACGCGGAAATATAAGAACAAGCGGTAGTGAAAAAACAATCAAATAGAAAGAAATTGCGGAAAAACGAATAAAATTACCAAAAATAGCCAAATTTAAACGCATATATAAAGCGAAGTGAACCAAAAACTTATAAAATTGATGAATTTAGTGGGAAATTACCATATATATATACTGTGAAACAAAAGCAAAAATAACAGCCAACTCTGCGAGCATTAGGGTGGTTCGTCATACAAAAAAAATAAAATTAAATAAAAGCACTGTGGAAAAGGAAAAGTTGGTGAATTGACAAAAAAACGTGGAAATAGCTGAAAATAAAAAGGTTAAAAAGCGAAATATTACCTGAAAAGAAAAATTCAGTAAGAAGCAAATAAATATCTGAAAAGAAAAGAAAATTCAATAAAAAGCAAATAATTACCTGAAAAAAAGAAATTTCTATAAAAAAACCGAAAAAGTGGTATAAGTGTGGCAAAACGTGTATATGTATTTAAAAAACAAAGTAAAACTAAACGCTGAATACTGTGCTGAGAAAAGAAAAAGCCCAAGTGTTTGCTTTTTGGAGTAGCAAAAAGGGAGCGCAGGGTGCGCCAGAGATTATAGTTTCTGATTTTCCGTGGAAATAAAAGACGAGGGATTTTAATTGTACTAACGAATTCATTAATGTTTATTGACTTCAATCAAACTTCAAACCGAAATTTAGTAGCGGTATGGTTAAACCGGTAACAAAGTTCGCCCGAGTGGCGTTCTGTGACAAAAAAGCAAAAAACGGTGCGATGCGGCTGCGACGGCGTCTAAAACGTTAATAATTCTAGCAATTTAATTGCAGGCACGAGTCACCCCGTGAACCCGCTTACAATTTCAACATGAAACCTAATTCACCTGACTCATTCACAATGGTGTACAGTATGTGGCATTGCCAGCCGCACGCGGATTATAGAAAAACATTAATGGAATACTTTACAAAGTTCTTAATCGAATTCGATTAAGTTGGGACTCATGTCCGCAACATGCCGGCCCGCCTGCGCAGGTGCCAGGTTGAGCAACTCTTGCAATTTCTCGAGGGTCAGCACCGCCCGGTTGAATAAATCGCGGATGCGCCGTTGGACCGCAGTATTGCCGCTGTGAGCTTGCTTTGCGGCTGGTTTTATCACACGGCTGGCTAGCTTCGATCGTCCACGGCGAACTTGTGCGGGCGAGTCAGTACGGCGAGTGCTTTCCGATGGTGATGATGGTGGATTGGACATCTGTGGAAAGAAGAACACATCGAAGACGGAATTAGTTCCATGCTATGGTGGAGTCAGCTAGAGGGAGGTGTAGGTGTGGAGTAGTAGGGTTTTAAGGAGGCATGCACGTATGTAAAGGGAGTTACTACAAAGGGGGCAGTAAGCACAACTTCGCAATATTTCGCGTGATTGTTCCGGCTTGAGTGTAAAGATCAGTTACGCGAACATTGTGATCATGACCGGGGTGAAGTTTCACAACGCGCCCGAGTCTCCACTCGTTTGGGGGTAGAAGGTCGTCTTTGACGACAACGAGGTCTCCCTCCTTAACGTTGGGTTCTTGTCTCTTCCACTTGTGCCTTTTATGGAGTTCCTTAAGATATTCATTTTTCCAGCGCGTGCTAAATTGCTGATGAATAACCTTCAATTTTTGCCATTTGTTTACTTAAGACAGATTGTCAGAGTGGGGTTCAGGCCTAGAGAGGAGCGGGGCACCACGCAAAAAGTGTCCTGGCGTTAAGGCCAGCAGATCCGTAGGATCCTGAGACATAGGGGAAAGCGGCCTGGAAATTAACACCGCTTCAATTCGAATAAGGAGAGTGGTAAATTCTTCAAAGGTAAATTTGTGATTTCCGGCTACCTTTGTGAAATGGGTTTTGAAGCTTTTTACAGCAGCTTCCCAGAGACCGCCCATATGAGGAGCATACGGTGGGATAAACTGCCATGCAAATTCGTGGGTTGCGTATTTTTCGGCGATATCAGTAGCCGCTTCGTTAAGAAACTGGGAGAATTCTCTTTGCAGCTTTCGCTGCGCACCTACGAAAGTTTTTCCGTTGTCGGACATGATTTTATGGGGGATTCCACGGCGGCCGACGAATCGGGTGAACGCTGCTTTGAACGCTTCAGTGGTTAGACTTGAGCATAATTCTAAGTGTACTGCTTTGGTGGAGAAGCACACAAACACACACACATACGCCTTTGCGTGGGGAGCTCGTCGGAGGGTAGATGTTTTCACAAGAAATGGTCCAGCAAAGTCAACACCTGTGGTATGAAAGGGGAGTGTATAGGTAGATCGTCCAGGGGGCAGCGCGGCCATTATCTGTGAACGCATCTTTTGTTTATAGATTGTGCATACCTTGCACTGAAAAATACATTTTTTTATCTTTTGCTTCAACCTGGGGATATAATATTCTTGCTGCACCATTCGAATCATTTGTTGTTTGTCAGCGTGGAGAAGA